AGCTAGCTCTGGCATAGTATATTTATGCAGAGACTTTAAAAACAAGCTTTAAATACTGATGGATGTGAAAACAGAGATTTCTGGGTCCACCTAGAAATTCAATCAGATGGTCTGGGTGGGGCCTGGAATCAGCACTTCCAACAATGCCTCAGGTGTTTTTGATACAGCTGGGGAGTCAAAGGCAGCTTGTAAACTAACACATCAGATGCTTTAAGCCCTGGGCTTGTCCTATTATTTTAAACTCTGTCCCTTAAGCTTGATTTGAAAAGAATATGGTATATGACCGTCCTAACATGTAAATTTACCAAAGAGATTCAAGTAGGAGATGGCAGTCCCAGTGCACCAAGACACTTGTTCCAAATGTTTGGTCTTCTTGGCGGGTCTGCAGATTTCTGAGAGCTCCCAGTCTCCAGCGCTGTGAGAGACCTAACAAAGCAGGGAAGATGTATGGAGGTGAACACCAATCAAGAGGTGCTTACTTGCCTTAGGGGGTTTTCTAAACCTTTTAACTGCTTACAAACCATTATCATTTTGAAGGAGGTAAGTCCAGAGAGGAGACAAGATTAAATATGTTAATAGAAAAAAAACCCAACAACAAAATGTTAATACACACATGAGATGTTCAAGTTTTCCAATAAAGAAATGTTCATTAAAACCACATTGAGAAATGGGGGGTGGGGGTTGGGGTCCTGTTAACTGTGTCTGCAAATAAATGTGAGCTCACTGGGCAGATAGGTAGAATAGACTGCATGGGAAGGTGATCCTAATTTGAAGTCAATGATCAGGGAAGAATAGCTAGCATTGTTAATTACACTTATAATAGTGAGCATCACTTCTGCCAACATACTGGGTGGGACCCATCCACAGGCACTGACTACCTAGCCGGTTTGCTCAGTGGTTACAGCGTTGGCCCTGCCCTCAGAAGTGTCCAGGTTCGATTCAGGGTCAAGGGCTCCCGTGGGAGGCAAGGAGTTGGTGTGTCTCTCTCACATCCATGTTTCTCTCTCTCTCCCCTTCCACTCTGTCTGAAAAGCAATGGAAATAATATCCTCATGTGAGGGTAACAAAAAACAAACAAACAAAAGATTACCTAGCCAGAGGAACCCACAAAAATAACAGAAATCAGGAAAGCATTTGCATGGTACCTTATTGATGTCCTTTGTTCAGTATAACCTGAGGAAGGTGAGCCTATTCGTCATCATTCCCAGCGCAGAGATAAGAACTCAGGCCCAGAGGCCACTTTCCACAACCAGTTACCGCCGAGGTAGTCCAGTTGCGTGGCCGCATCCCCTCGGTCCTCCCTCACCACGGGCTCAGCGAGCACAAGGCGAAACCATAAAATAAACCTGGGGTGAGAGTCAACGTCCCATTCGACCCACCCGATCTTCCTTCGATGTAGATAAGGTCGGAATCGCCTCCCCTCCACAAGAGGTAACCGAGACCACAAGGTATTGTGACAAAATTACGGGGCTGGAGAAGGCAGCGCGTGGAGGTGGAGCCCAGGGCTGACTCCACAAGTCGCAGACCCAGCTCAGGCTTCGGTGGAGGTGGCCGCAAGTCCGCGATGAGAGCCCGACCTGCCGCGGGGCGCTCGCAGGTACGCGGGACTCGGGGCGCCGGCCACGCCGAGGGCCGAGGGCGCTTTACCGGCGCCGAGCGCGGACCCTGGGGGCTGGGTCAGACGCACTGCTATCTCCCCGGGATCTGGCATAGCTGGGACGTACGGAATGCCCTTTCTAGCCCTCGGGTCGGCACCCGAGGCTGCCGATCCTCGCTGGGGTTTCCGGCAACGTGGGGCACGCACTCAGGGGCGCGTCCCGGGAGCGGGAATGGGGCTCGCGCGGAGCCGGGTCAGACGGCAACCTAACGGGGCCGGGGATTCAGCTCAGGCGGCGCAGACAAGACCCGGGCTCCGCTCCGGCCGGCGGCAGAGGAGGCCGAACGTGCCGAGCCGGGGCGGGGAGCCGGGAAGGTGCGGTGCGGAGCGGCCGGGGCGCTAGACCCTGAGCGTCCCCGCGCGCCCGGCGCCGGAGTCCCGCAGCCATGAGAGCGCAGGGCCAGGTAAACATCGCCCGCCCCGCCGCCCGGCCCCCTGGCCCCCACCCCCCCCTCTGGGGCCGCCGGGAACTTTCAGCCTCAAGTTCCGCGCGCGGGGTTCCCTCTGCAGCTAGTTCCCGGAGCTCTGAGAGGGAGGGCGGCCCCGGCGGCTGGGGACGCCTAGGAAAGAAGTGAGCTTGGTGTGGGGTTGGGGGAGGGGGGCGGGTAGGGAGAGGGGTGGAGACCCCGGTTGGGCCTTGGTCTCCGAAAACGTGGTCAAACCTCACCCTGGCTATCACTTTACATATTTTGTCTGGACTGGCACAGGGCATGTGCATGTATTATGTATTGAGCACATTGCATTTTAGGCCTATTACCAGGTGCTTAGCAAACGTGTGCGCTCCTTTCGGCAGTCTGGTTGTTAAGGGCGCTTTCTTTGGAGCCACATCACCTGAATTCGTTTCCCCAGCTCCACCACTAGCGCTGATCCTGGGCAAGTTGCTTAACCTCGGTGCTTTGGCTGCCTCGTCTGGAAAACGGGATCATAGTTATAATTTGAAGATTAAATGAGATGCTATATGTGCAGTGTACTTCTAATAATGCCTAACATATTTAGCAGGTGGCAAGGGTTTGTGACTTATTTCATCCTGGCAATAATCCTATGAGGTTTACCTATCACCCCCCCCCCCCCCCCCCCCACACACACACACACTTCCTCAATGGTTTACAGCAGGGGAGGAAAATGAAGCCAGGAGAACTTCGTTAAAGATATGTAAATATGGTTAACAATACCAAGCTGTACTCTTAAAACTGGTGAAGAGGGTGAATTCTGCATTATGTGTATTTTACCACAATTAAGGAAAAAAGAGATTTTCCACACAAAATCCATAAGGTGATTTGCCCTATACTCTGAATACAGCGATTGAACTGCTTCCAGCTGGGTTCCGCTTTTGCCTGGAATCCATGACTTTTGGGGTTGTGTAGTGGGGTAGCAGTGGACTGCCCTGGAAACTTCCTTCTGATGGACTTGGCACCAGAACAGTGAGTGGGTCCCGTTGTTGGGGGCAGCCCAGTGCTGTTTTTCCTTTCTCTTCATGAGTGTTGGTATTTCCATATCTCTGTTGTTTACAGATAAACTCCATGACTATTTTGGAGTGACTGCTTCTGAGTGACATGCAGTTGGGAGCAGTGAGAGTGGTCACTGTGTTTGCCTCAGAGATTGCATTCTTTCCCAGGGGTTGGAAGCACGTGTCTCTTCAAGAGCATCCCTGTCCATTATGATGGGAAACGAAGTCATTTATTCGGTAGCACAGACAGGTGCTTTCCCTGTTTTTCTTTTCTTTTTTTTAAATTTTGTTTTATTGCTTAAAGTATTACAGAGAGTATTACATATGTCTCCTTTCCACCCCCCCCCCTTGACATTCCCCCGGCCTCCCCTACCCCCCAGTGTCTTGTGTCCATTGGTTATGCTTATATGCATGCATACAAGTCCTTCGGTTGATCTCTTACCCTCCCCGGCCACCACCCTCCAACCCTCCCCGGCCTTCCCACTGTAGTTTGACAGTCTGTTCGATGCTGCTCTGCCTCTGTATCTATTTTGTTCATCAGTTTATAATGGTCTTTATTATCCATAAATGAGTGAGATCATGTGATATTTTTCTTTCATTGACTGGCTTATTTCACTTAGCATAATGCTTTCCAGTTCCATCCATGCTGTTGCAAATGGTAGGAATTCCTTCTTATTTATAGCAGCATAGTATTCCATTGTGTAGATGTACCACAGTTTTCTAATCCATTCATCTGCTGATGGGCACTTAGGCTATTTCCAAATCTTAGCTATGGTGAATTGTGCTGCTATGAACATAGGGATGCATATATTCTTTCTGATTGGTGTTTCTGTTTTCTTGGGATATATTCCTAGAAGTGGGATCACTGGGTCAAATGGGAGTTCCATTTTTAACTTTTTGAGGAAACTCCATATTGTCTTCCATAGTGGCTGCACCAGTCTGCATTCCCACCAGCAGTGCACAAGTGTTCCCTTTTCTCCACATCCTCTCCAGCACTTGTCGTTTGTTGATTTGTTGGTGATAGACATTCTGACAGGTGTGAGATGATACCTCATTATTGTTTTGATTGGCATCTCTCGGATGATTAGTGACTTTGAGCATGTTTTCATATGTCTCTTGGCTTTCTGAATGTCCTCTTTTGAAAAGTGTCTATTTAGGTCCTTTGCCCATTTTTTGATTGGGTTGTTTATCTTCCTTTTGTTAAGTTGTATGAGTTCCCTTTGTTGGAGATTAAACCCTTATCAGTGATAACATTGGCAAATATGTTCTCCCATGTAGTGGGCTTTCTTGTTGTTTTGTTGATGGTTTCTTTTGCTGTGCAGAAGCTTTTTATTTTGATGTAGTCCCATTTGTTTATCTTCTCTTTAGTTTCCAATGCCCTAGGAGCTATATCAGTGAAGAAATTGCTTTGGCATATGTCTGAGATTTTGTTGCCTTTGGATTCCTCTAGTATTTTTATGGTTTCCCGTCTTACATTTAAGTCCTTTATCCATTTTGAGTTTATTTTTGTGTATGGTGTAAGTTGGTGGTCTAGTTTCATTTTTTTTGCATGTATCTGTCCAATTTTCCCAACACCATTTATTGAAGAGACTGTCTTGACTCCATTGTATGTTCTTGCCTCCATTGTCAAATATTAATTGAGCATATTGGTTCCGGTCGATTTCTGGGCTCTCTATTCTATTCCATTGATCTATATGTCTGTTCTTGTGCCAGTACCAGGCAGTTTTGAGAACAGTGGCTTTGTAATACAGCTTGATATCTGGTATTGAAATCCCACCTACTTTGTTCTTCTTTCTCAGGATCACTGCAGCTATTTGGGGTCTTTTTTATTCCAGATGAATTTTTGGAGAGTTTGTTCTAGGTCTGTGAAATATGCCGTTGGTATTTTAATGGGAAATGCGTTGAATTTATAGATTGCTTTGGGTAGTATGGACATTTTAATGATGTTGATTCTACCAATCCATGAACACGGTATGTTCTTTCATCTGTTTATGTCTTCCTCTATCTCTTTTTTCAATGTCCTGTAGTTTTCTGAGTAGAGGTCTTTTACCTCTTCAGTTAAGTTTATTCCTAGGTATCTTAATTTTTTTGGTGTGATGGTAAATGGGATTGCTTTTTTAGTCTCTCTTTCTGTAAGTTCACTATTGGTGTATAGAAATGCCATAGATTTCTTGGTGTTAATTTTGTATCCTGCTACATTGCCGAATTCATTTATTAAGTCTAATAGTTTTTTGATAGAGTCTTTAGGGTTTTTTTATGTACAATATCATGTCATCTGCGAATAAGGACAGTTTTACTTCTTCTTTTCCAATTTGGATGCCTTTTATTTCTTCTTGTCTAATCGCAATGACTAATACTTCCAGTACTATATCGAACAGGAGTAGTGAGAGTGGGCATTTCTATCTTGTTCCTGTTCTTAGGGGAAATGGTTTTAGTTTTTTTCCCATTGAGTATGATGTTGGCTGTGGGTTTGTCATATATGGCTTTTATTATGTTGAGGTATGATCCTTCTATTCCCACCTTGCTGAGAGTTTTTATCAAAAATGGGTGTAGGATTTTGTCAAATGCTTTTTCTGCATCAATTGATATGACTATGTGGTTTTTTTCTCTCAGTTTGTTTATGTGATGTATCACGTTTATTGATTTTCGGATATTGTACCATCCTTGCATCCCTGGGATAAATCCTACTTGGTCATGATGTATGATCTTTCTGATGTACTGCTGGATCCGATTTGCTAAGATTTTGTTGAGGATTTTGGCATCTATGTTCATGAGGGATATTGGCCTGTAATTCTCTTTTATTGTGTTGTCTTTATCTGGTTTTGGTATGAGGGTGATGCTGGCTTCATAGAATGAGCTTGGAAGTGTTCCTTCCTCTTGAATTTTTTGGAATAGTCTGAGGAGGATAGGTTTTAGTTCTTCCTTGAATGTTTGGTAAAACTCCCCTGTGGAGCCGTCTGGCCTTGGGCTTTTGTTTGCTGGAAGCTTTTTGATGACTGCTTCAATTTCTTCCATAGTTATTGGCCTATTGAGATTTTTAGATTCTTCCTGATTGAGTTTTGGAAGGTTGTATTTTGCTAGGAATATTTCCATTTCCTCCAGGTTGTCGAGTTTGTTGGAGTAGAGCTGTTCATAGTATTTTTTTAACAATCCTTTGTATTTCATTGGGGTCTGTTGTTATTTCACCTCTGTCATTTCTAATTTTGTTTATTTGGGTCCTCTCTCTTTGCTTCTTGGTGAGCCTGGCTAGAGGTTCATCAATCTTGTTTATCCTTTAAAAGAACCAGCTCTTGGTTTCATTGAATCTTATGTATTGTTTTTTTGGTCTCTATGTCATTTATTTCTGCCCTGATCTTTATTATCTCCTTCCTTCTGCTCACTCTAGGCTTTTCTTGTTGCTTTCTTTCTAATTCTTTCAGTTGTAGAGTTAGATGATTTACTAGAATTTTTTCTTGTTTTTTGAGGGTGGCCTATAGAGCTATAAACTTCCCTC